CCACTTCACCTATGCAGCCTTACCCCCCACCCCATAACCATGAGAAAAACATCACACAAACCCAAATCAAAGGACATTCTGCAAGAGCACTGATCAATATTACTCAAAACCGTTAAAGTCATCAAAATAAAGGTCTGACAAACTGTCAACACCTGAGAAGCCTGAGACTAAATATAACACAGTATCCTACACGGGATAAATTGATGTTTCTCTCTCAATCTTCCTCTTCCTCTCCCTAAAATCAATTAAAAAATTAGTTAGAAAATTTACAAAATTAAAAAAATACCTTTTTCTAGTTAAGATCTTTTATTGAGAATGGCTTATAGCCCACTTAGTGTGAATGGTGTAATATTTTATTGTAATGATAAGAAAGATGCAAACAATCAATCAAGCAAAATGTTCATTCCTCAAAGCAATATTGTTTGAAAAGAAAAAAATTAACTCAAGAAAAGGGACATATTCAAAAAATAAACTGAACTTAAAAAAATTATAAAAAGGAGGAGGAGAAAAGCCAGGAGAAGTTCTTGCATCTTTCAATGCAGCAGCAAAGTACGAAGCTGGTTATCAAGAGAGAGTCAGTCTTTTGTGGAGCTGATAACACACGTACATTTCATGGCTCTTGGTCCAATGTCTACCAGATCCTGGATGTCAGCCCAGGTATTGTTATTCCCCAACAATGATATGTACTCAAAAGATCAACACGGAGATTCATTCATATTTCAGGACAGGCACCTAAGACTCCAAAACTGAAATAGCATTGATAAAAAGAGATGATCATCAGTACAGAACCCTAAAGTAAATAATTTCCTAAAACACCGACTTAAGATAAATAACACAAGACCATTTTTCAACTGAAATGCTCTCCCTTCTCCCAGTACAACCCAAGCCCTCATAGCACCCCTCTATAACAGACTACCATAGCCCCTCCCTTCTTAAGCAAGAGACCACAAACTATAGTCATACTGTCACTCTGTAAAGGTATGAAATGGGAGGTAGAGAATTATTTGTGCTCCATGATACCAGACTACCTTAAATGGTCATGTTTTACATTTAATTTTTTATTTGTCTCCTTTATCTACCTCCCCTGCTCCCTGCTGTTTCCTATTACAATAAATCATTTCTAAAGTTCAGTTTAAAAATGCATCTCAGATTCAACGTCAAATAGAAAATCACATTTCAATCCATCAGCAAACCAAGACACAGTTAATTGCCTAAAACTATTCTGTCTCTACATAGATTTTTAGGATTAAGTTTTACAAATTCTTAAATTCTCCAAGCAGAAAGCTTTTATACACATATGAAATGGAAAATACAGTGCTGTTACCATCCAATAGAACAGTGGTTGTTCTGTTGTAAAGAAGATCTACATGCAGAGGCAACAAATGACAAAAGGAAACAATGTATGCACAATGTATACCTACACGACAAAAACAAAATGTATCTTTCCTTTACATATACACAAATATTTACAATTTAAAAAAAATCTGGAAGACCCAGATAGCAAACAGATTTTAATAGTAGTTACCTACTATTAGGGGCCAGGGAAGGTTCACTTTCTGGAAGTCTTTAAGGTATTTCATTTTATTTTAAAGATTTATTTATTTATTTATCTTTAGAGGGGAAGGGAAGGAGAGAGGGAGAGAAACATCAATGTATGGTTGCCTTTCGTGAGTCCCCCACTGGGAACTGGCCTGCAGGGAACTGGCCTGCAACCCTGGTATGTGCCCTGACTGGGAATCGAACCGCGATTGTCTGGTTCGCAGGCCCGCACTCAATCCACTGAGCTACACCAGCCAGGGCCTAAGGTATTTTATTTTTATGCACTGAGAATATATTAATTTGCTTAACTATTTCTTTTAAAAAGAAACATGAATTCATTACTTTTCATCTTCCTTGTAAAACTTACCAACATCTGAGCATCTATCAATCCCTGTGCATAGGAGTTTTCATTGAACATCTACCAATAGTTTGAATTCTAAGGCAGATATTACCTTGCCATGTGACATCTACTGTTAAATGGTCTTTTAACAATAATGACTTCAATTCCTCAAGGAAAAAATCCAGGAGTAAGAGCTAACTCTGAACTGAAGACAGAATGGAAAGTTCAGGAAAAAAAATTGACTCACCCCACTTTCTTCCAAAAGGTGCCCATATCATAATTCTGTAAACAGTGGTGTTGAACTACAAACACAGAAACAGAAAAAAACAAAACCAAAAGAAAACATGCCCGAGTAAGGTGATGACTTCTGGATCTTAGAGGTTTCCAGCCTCTCACTTACCATTCTGCAAACTGACATCCTTCCTTCTAGCCCTGTTCCCAGACAAAACATCCCCCTAAGGACCTCTACCCGAAGAATCACTTTCAGCACCAAACCCTAGGCCCCAGGAGCCTTCAAGAGCATTTTCCTAACCTCCAGATCACTGCCCAAATTAAACTAGACTCAATTATGGTCCCAAATTACTAACAGTAGGTTTGACAACTCTTTTTCACCTATGGTAAAGCATACTGGTAAAAGCATTTATTATAGCGACAAAAGAGGCTCATTCTGAGTGCAAGTTCCTGTAACATTTAGTCACAGTTTAGTCACAGAACAATTCCAAGAAAAAAATTTATTATTTAAAAAAATAATACCTGTACCCCAAATGTCTATATGTTCAAAATATAATACAGACTATGTTAAGTCTCACTAGGTAACAGAACTGAAAATCCCATTTTTATTGCTAGTTTCCATCTTGACACACAAACCCTTAAGCGGCAAAGCACTTGTTTTATTTAACAAAAGCCAGAAAGGCACAGGACAGGCCCTGGCACAGCTGGGAATCCTCCTCACATTCCGTGGTACAAGTCAAGCCTGAAGTGGGCAGAAAGTTAGCAAATCTGACCATGTTCTTCTCACTCTCCGCCTATCAAAAAAAGAATCAAAGTTTGGATACTAAGTATAGGTGGGTATAACCCACCTATACTTAGATGAGAAAAGTTTTAACTCCTGCTCACTCAGGGATTCATTTCTGTAGTTACCTTGTAGTTGAGTGTCAGTCTCACTAGAAACCAACTCTTTCTAAATGGGCCACTAGAGAGTGCTAGAAACTCAGTTACATAGGACCCAAAGTAATGCAAGAAAATAATCCCCTAAAATCTGGAGAACGGACAGATGAAGGACAATCTAGTTCATGGCTGGTACACTACCAAAAGGTACTACAATACTGATAGACCTGAATTTCGAGAGAAGAATTTATCACCACTTCATGTCTGTCTATAGCTTAAGTTGTTTTTTCAACAGCTTTCACACTAAGCACCTAACATTAAAATAACAACAAACTAATCCAAGCCACATACAGCAAAAGATTCCTTTCTTTAGGAAATGAGGCAAAGTTAAGGATAGATTAAACCCGACTTTCAACTTTGTTAAAAATTATGGGGGAGGAGACAAGAAGGGGGAGAGAGGGGAAAGGTGTGGAGAAAGGAAAAGAGGAGGAGATCACCTACTTAATCTGGTGTGGAAATGAATCTCACGTAAATGCTGACCGAGAGTGCAGCACAGTGGCAAGATTTTCATCAGACAGCGAGTGTTTCAGCCAGGTGATTTTTTAAAGGGCACACAACTCCATCAACCACGATTTCACTCCCACCCCAATGTAAGTCTGTTTCATCTGATTTCAGTTCATCCTAAAAAGTAACGCTTCCCAGCACCATTACTGATAAAAAGAAATTTAAGGTTAACATTTTAATCAGCAGGTGTTAGTTTTCCCATTAAACAAAACAAAAAATGCTATTGAAGGTGGAAATCTTGAACTCCCAACCTCAGACTGTAAAACTGCAGAACCGCCCTTCATTATAAAAACCAAGTTTTACAAAGATTAAAGAATGCCGTTATTTTCTGATTTCCAAATTATTAATAAGCTAATCACCTGGATGGAATGTATATCTGAAAAATAATATGACCCTAAGTATTATTTCCTCAGTGTCTAATGTAGGTGATTAATTTCTTGCAAAAGCCTCTTACGGAGGAATGCATGCCAGGTTCTACCCTCATATCAGACTAACCTTTTCTTTTAACCCTGTGGAGGTCGAGATAAAAAAAAAATTACAGCGTGAGTCGCCTTATTTGCATCTGTCAGATAAGCCGCCACCTCCACTGTCACAAATGCGTCTCCAAATACATCGTTGTTCTGATAACGGTATGGTTTTCCTAAACATGTCTCGCTATCCCGGGTCCCATATCCAACCACGCCCAAACGTGGAGTTTAAAAAAAAAAAAAAAGAAAGATGCCATCTCCCTATATTTGTTTCTGCAGATGCTGGACTCGGTGTGGTGTTTAGCCAAACACAGCAGTAACTGCACCGTAGTAACAAACCCAGTCCCGACACACGGTTGCGCTCCCTTGGTCCAGGTAATCCTTAATGGGGTACACAACGCGTACTCAAGATGGTGGCAGGGGAATGAGCCCACGGCAGACCACCGCACAGGCCCCGGAGAGTCTCTGTCGCCCTAATTTTTTGTTGCATTTTTTTTTTAGTGCACGCATCCTTGACCCTAACCCCTCCCACGCCTGGAGAATTCCTCCGAGTGGCCCTGCTCGGAAACTGGCCTCCTCCGCAGGAGGCTTTCGACGCAAGCCTGAAAGAGAATATACCCCTTCACAGATCTGCACTCGTCCACCCCCGAAACTGGACACTCTCCGGAGACCCTGCCCCATCCCCACCCTCACGCCCGGAGCCGCGCAGCCGAGAACACCGTCCGGAAGAGACTGAGGGGGAGGAAGAGGAAATGGAGTGGAGGAGGGGAGTGAGACAGAAAGAAAAGCACTCCTGTGCCCCGCCCCATGGTAGCACACAGCCACGAGGGTCTGCGGGAGGCTAACAAGCCCTCCCTGCCCTTTCCTCAACCTCTGGCCCCCAATCGGGACCAGAAACAACTCCACCCGCGCTGGCTCGCCAGGTGCTTCTGCAGACTCTCAGCCCGGCCCGCAGTCTCCGGGGGTGGGGGGATGGGGCTCACCTTGCGCTTGCGGGCCTCCGCAGTGCCGCACCACACGAAGCACTGGTAGATGGCCCGCAAGTTCTGCTTCCAGTTATCCACTTTGAAGCTACTCAGGTGCGTACAGCCGGGCGGCGAGACCACCAGCTCCGCGTCCATGGCCTCGATCTCCGGCTCGGGCCGAGACATCATGGGGGGCAAGGCCCGACCGCGCGCGGGGGGCGGCGAAGGAGAAGAGGACGACGCCAGTGCGGCACAGGGGCTGCCAGGCGGCGCGCCCCGGTTGTCAGAGGGAATGGTGCTGGGACAAAGCGCGGGCAGCGACGAAGATGGTGCTGTGCAGGCGCCGAGAGACAGGCGGCTGCCAGCCAGATGCCGTCTTCCAGGCACTGGGCGGGTTTGCAGGGGCGGGGGCGGGGGGGGGGCGCGGGCAGGGCAAGGCGCAAAGGCCGCGGGCGCTGACTACGTCATCACCCCGCCGGCTGCGGGCGTCCAGAGCGCAGGCTCCAGCCACCCCCCAGGCTCCTCCCCGCTGTCGACTGCCCGACCGCAAGGGCGGAGAGAGCTTGACGCTAAGGAGGGACCGCCCACGCGCTTACACCATTGGTTGCCCACCTGTCCACAGCCCCTGCGCTGCGGCGAGAGCTCTCCTTATTCAGCCCCTCTCTGGTTTACAGCTGCTTTCCTGGCTGCAGGCAGGTAGCGGGTAGGAGTTCAGGGCTCCCACCGAAAACTGGGGAGCTTGGGCCTAGGGGAGGATTGGGTGTCTCGGGCTGCACTGAACCGGTTTGCCCCGGCCTGAGCTCTGCCGCAAAGAGGCGGAGCGACGCGCTGGGATTGCGAATCGCTGCGGTCTAGCCCTGCCGCAGTCTCTTAGCGCGCCTTCTCAGCCAAGGCCGCACTTCCGCGGTTCAAGGTTGGTTCCATTGACAACAGAAGTCCTCCATCTGGGACCCTCTGCAGGGCAGTCTATCTTCGAAGCTGTCTCAGGCACTACAGTGCCATCACCGTGAATTGGAACCGTGCTACTACCTGCTCGGTGCTGCTTCAAGGTGCAGCTTGGGGTCCCTCCCCACCGGGAACACGCAGTCTGATTCAGCACATATCCAAACATGCAAGCCGCTTATCCAATTTAAATGTTCTAATAGCCGCATTTTGAAACATGAGAAACACGTGAAATTAAGTAGCAAACTTTTATACAATATGGCCAAAATTATTTCAGCATGTAAGAAACATTGCAGAATTATTAACTATTTTACAGGTTTTGGACAAATTCTTCTATATGTGGTATTTTACATTTACAGAACATCCAATTCATAGTAGCTGTATTTCAAGTGTTAGGGGCTATCATATTGGACAGCACAGGTCTATTCAGTACATATGTTGCCAAACCAGGGCAGATTGTGAAAAGATCTTTAAAGACAAATGCGAACAATATCTTGGGGGAGTCAAGGCCCAAAAGATCTGGGAAAACTTGGAGGCCATGTGGTGCTACTTAACCTATACTGACCCACAGTGTTAACCTGCTTTGCTGCATTCCTGGACAAGTTGAGAAAACGGAAATTTCTGTCCAGGCCAGTCCAAAGCTATCACAAGTTAAAAAAAAAAGAAAAAGAAAAAAGAATAATGGCATTGCAATTAAAGCTGCAGGGTTTAATGGGCTGAGGACTAGAATAAATCTTTCGTGGAACAAATTGCCAAGCACACTTTTGCCTGGGCCTTGGTCGCTGCTACGTACAATGTATTCCAACCTGCTACTCCTTAGCTTATGCTGCCTAACCTCCTTCAGGGACTATCAGATACTTCTTTGAAAGTAAGGCCTTCCCTTGCCACCCTACCGAAACGTATAACCACCACACCAAAATTCTCCATCCCTTTACCCTGCTTTTTTGTTTCTCAAGAGAATTTATTTGTTTATTATTTCTTATTTACTTTTTCTGTAGCATAAATACTCCATGTGGGTAATGGTTTTTGTTTTTTATTTAGTTCTATATCCCCCAGTGTCCAGGGTAGTACTAGGTACATGAGGGTTCTTAAAATTACCTGTTGAATTAACCCACACAAACTTTTAAGATCGTTCTCAGTAAAATAATGGTTAAGTAGGGTGCCCTATGGATAGGTTAGAGAAAGGAATATCAGTTTACTAAAAAGTGATATCACAAATAGTCTCTAAGTCATGAATTAGAAATTATATGTGATTCACCTCTATACATATTTTAAGGAATATTCTAATATCACTAGGCTTACAAATATGATTTGGTTTCAAGAATGTGTACTTAGAATTCAGTCCCCTAATATCTATAATAAATAACATGTGTCATTTAGGAGTGGAAGAATTCCTGTGTGCTCTACTTGTTATAAATAATTTTAAATGGTCTATAATTCTAATAGCCATACATATAGGTAAATTAAAACAGAATGTATCCTTCAGAAGCAATTTCCAAAAGAGGCATTGACAAAGCTGTTTAGTACACCATTTGAGCCGGGGGTGGGGGGCGGGTTTTGAAACACCTTAAATGGCCTTTAATGGAAGAATGGTTGAATGAACTATGGAATAGACATTCTAGGGAATTCTATGTAGGGTTTTTTTTTATGTAAGAGAACTTTATCTTAATGAAAATGTCTGCTTTTTGAGCTAGCTCTTTTCCCCACCATTAGAAAACAACTTTATTGCTAAAAAGCAATCCATTTATTTAATCATACTCTTTTTAGGCCATTTTAACTTTTTCCACCACTGTAAGACCACTCTCTGTTTTTCAGTCTTCAAACATTTTTTTCAGGAGAATTTGCATCACTATCTCTGTTTCTGTTTCTTTATTTTCTCCAGTTAGAAGATTCAGTGTATTGCCCACTTTCACCGTTCTGCTTTTCATCCACAATTTTGTCCCATTCAGCCTGAGCTCATATTTGTAGAATGCACCTTCTATTTCATTTCTTCTAACATCTAGGCCTGTCTTCAGGATAACATCTTACTGAAAAGACTGCACTATCTTTTCACTTCTTGGGGAAGTCAAGGTCCAAAATATCTGGGAAAACTTGGAGGCCATGTGGTGCTACTCACCTATACTGATCACAATGTTAACTAGTTTTGCTGCAGGCTAAAATCAGTGGAGTTTTTTAGAGGCTATGTTACTTTTGAGTCTTATGGGAAAATATATTCTGGAGATATTGAAAGCCCTGCGAGTCCCAGTAAGAAAATGTTATGGAAAAGTGTTTTTACAATTTGGTGCATTTAATTTGGAACTAAAAATATATATAAGTATCAAATCCAGTAAGTTTGTGTGAAGGTATCCTTCATAGCGCTTCTCAGAGCCCAATCTGTGCACCTGGTTTTCCTAGAATACTGGTGGGCAGTCATAGCCATGGTGCATATAACCTTCCTGGGTCCTCAAGGTCAAGGGAAACCAGACATTTGCTCCAAGCCTATGTTGGGAGACTGCAGTAGGCGCCAGAGCCCTAGGCAGACAGGGTCAGCCCATGAGGCTCCCAAGACCTTTTAGCCCTTGGGCATCCCAAAGCTGACCTGGCCAGAGCAGGACCTGCAGACTCATGTGAAGATCTGGCTGAAGCACACAGAGGTGCTCACATACTTGCTGAGTCCCTATTTCACAGGCACTGGCAGGGCGCCTGCAGTTTTTTTTTAAAGTGAAAGATCTGTAAGTACTAATATGGAAAGTCTACAAGACATAAATGAATAAAACAAATTGCAGAAAAATACAGACAGTATTTTGCTTACATTTATGAAAAAACACTATATGTATGTGTGTACATATATATGTATGTGTCTTTGATTAATCCCATCACCTTCTTTCCACCAGTCCTCTGACCCTTCCCTTTGACAGCTGTCAATCTTTTCCATGCATCCAGGCCTTTGTTTTTACTTTGTCAGTTTATTTTGTTTATTAGATTCCACATATAATTGAGATCATATGGTATTTGGCTTTCTCTGACTGGTTTATTTCACTCCGCATAATAATATCTAAGTCCATCCATGATGTCACAAAAGGTAAGATAGTAAGATTTCCTTCTTTTATTTTTTAATGGCCGAGTAATATTCTGTTGTGTAAATGTACCACAGCTTTGTTATCCACTCATCTGCTGATGGGCACTTGGGCTGTTTCCACATCTTAGCTGTTGTAAATAATTCTGCAATGAACATACAGGTGCATATATTCTTTTGGATTAGTATTTCTGGATTCTTCAGATATATTATTCACAGAGGTGAGATCACTGGGTCAAAAGGGAGTTCCATTTTTTTAAAGATTTATTTATTTTTAGAGAAAAGGGAAGGAAAACATTAATGTGCATCCCCTACTAGGGACCTGTACCACAACCCAGGCATGTGCCCTGACTGGGAATCAAACTGGCAACCATTTGGTACCCAAATTAGCACTCAGTCCACTGAGCCACAGCAGCCAGGGCAGGAGTTCTGTTTTTAATTTTTTCAGCAAACTCCATACTGTTTTCCACAGTGGCTGCACCCATCTGTGTTCCCACCAACAGTGCATGAGGGTTCCCTTTTCTCCACATTCTCAGCAACATTTGTTATTTGTTGATTTATTGATAATAGCCATTCTGACAGGTGTGAGCTGATATCATTATGGTTTTAATTTGCATCTCTGTGATGATTAGTGATGTTGACCATCTTTTCATATGTCTGTTGGCCATCTGTATGTCTTCTTTGAAGAATTGTCTATTCAGGTAATTTGCCAATTTCTTAATTGGATCATCTTCCTAGTGCTGAGTTGTACAAGTTCTTTATATATTGTATTTTGGAAATGAACCCTGCTCCCATTCACTGGGTTCACTTTTCATTTGGTTGATGGTTTCTTTTGCTGTGCAGAAGCTTTTTAGTATGATGTAATCTGATTTATCTTTTCCTTTTTATTGCCTGACGAGGTATACTGGTAAAAATATTGCTATGAGAGATGTCTGAGACTTTACTGCCTATGTTTTTTTCTAGGATTTTATGGTTTCGTGACATTCTTTTAAGCGTTTTATACATTTTGAGTTTATTCTTGTGTATAGTATAAGCTAGTGGTCTGGTTTCTTTTTTTTTTTTTTTTTTTTTGCATGTACTAGTTACTAGTCCAGTTTTCCCAACACCATTTGTTCAGGTGACTGACTTTACTCGATTGTATACCCTTGGCTCCTTTGTCAATAATTAATTGACCATTAAGGCATGAGTTTATTTCTGGGCTCCCTGTTATTTTCTGTTGATATATGTGCCTGTTCTTATGTCTGAACCAGGTTCTTTTAAATACTATGGCCTTGTAGTAAAGTTTGATATCAGGAATTGTGTGGCCTTCAACTTTGATCTTCTTTTGCTGAATCTATTCGGGGTCTTTTTGCCAAGTCTTTGGTTCCATATACATTTTTGGAATGTTTGTTATAGACTTGTGAAGTATGCCATTGGT